TCACTATTTCTCCATCCCTGCTTCTCCATCACTATTTCTCCATCCCTAATTCTCCATCCTCCTGGTTCTTCATCCCTAATTCTCCATCTCTAATTCACCATCCCTGGTTCTCCATCCCCGCTTCTCCATCCCTAGTTTTCCATCCCTAATTCTCCATCTCTATTTCTCCATCCCTGGTTCTCCATCTCTAATTCTCCATCCCTAATTCTCCCTGTGTGGTGGCTACAAACATCACTTATTTGGACTAAATAAACACCCATTCCCTGAATGCCCTTTCAAAGCTCTCCAAACCCTTCCCTGCAGTGCTGGGATGAATCACTGCTCTGAGTTTCTGATCCACTGGCATTTACTGAAGAATAAACCAAACCCCACTAAGGTCATGTTTATCCCTGGTAAGGAGGAAGGTCCAACAAGCCAAGATATATCTATCCAGAGGCAAGTGCTGGCTCTCCTTGTGTGCTCTGATCTTGGAGTGCCCAGAGCCTGCCTGCAGGATCCTCCACATCTGTTATTTTATCCACCCTCACTAGAGGTCATTGCATGCCACGACTTCAGCTTTGATGTCTCCACACTCAAGAGTCAGCTGGAAAAAAAACCCACCACACTAATGGTCCACATCCTGAACAGCCACGTGTTTGGTGTCTCCCCCCTTCTGCAGGGCACTCAGCAAAAAAAAAAAAAAAAAAAAAATATATATATAAAGGTTTTGGGGTGGTTTTCAATAATGAAACCATCCAGATTTCAGTATTTATAGACCCCATATGAGTGAGAGCAGAGGTTCACCTTGGTCTGGTCTCCTCTTAATGATGGAGGGCAGAAGCAGATGCATTTTCTCCTTGTCACCAGAGCACCTGACGGAGCAGATCCCTGCTGGGCATCAAGCCCTTCCCAAGCATGTTGTTCTTCTTCCCCTGCTCCCATCCAGACACCCCCTGCCACAGCTCCCAGAGCTGTTGCTTGGCACAGGATGAAAAACAAACTGGGTTTGTCAAAACAGGATAAAAAAATAGCTGCTTGCTGTTCCCACAAAACACCCCCTCTCCTCCAAAAAAAACAAGCCTGTTCTCTGCCTCCAG